TCCTTTAGAAATTGAAAGTAAATGAATAATATTAATTTACTATACGATTTATTAATAATATTATTATTAATATTATTTTAGGTGCTTTTATAATATGATAAGAAGTTTAAATATAAGATATATTAAAATTACAAAGGTTTCTTATTAGAATAATAGTTGTGTAAGATAGTAAAGTATAGGATATTAGAATTTGAGTAAGATGTAAGATTAAACGTAGAATTAGACGTATAATTAAACTTATATAGATTATTAAGATTTCATAAAATAATAGTAATAAATACTATAAAAAATTAATAATACCGATTTAAATTAAAGAAAAAGTTACTTGTCACACACGTGATACTGTTACCTATAGGTAGTGATACAAAATTAAAATATATCACTATTAAAGTGAAAAATAAGACTATCAATTAAAATATGTCACTGAGTACATACATACGTATATATATAATCATATATAAGGTATTTAAGTACGTATGCACGTGCGTACGTAATTGTATCTTCTTATCACTATTACTTTTTTATTGTTAGCAGAAGGGTTAAAGGTTAGAACAAACGATAATGTTTTGTTTGAGTATTCAAAGGCACTAATCTTACTATCACACTCTTTCTTTCTTTACACACAGCCTTCGTTCTTTGTTGAAGATACATAATCTCTCACATAACGAACTTTCACTTTCTTTGATGTAACTGTTATACATATACACTTATACTCCCCTTGCGCTTTTATCTTGAACTTTCGCTTGTACATATACTTGTACTCTCCTTCACTTTTATTTTGCACTTTCGATTGCACATATACTTGTGCTTTCCTTGCACTATTATCTTGTACTTTCGCTTGCACTTTTGCTTTTTTTTTTTTTTTTTTTAATGAATTAGAGTTCAGTATAACTAAAAAAAAAGCTTACAAAACTTTATATAACATAAAACTATAATATTATTTTTTTTTTGCAACAAAACTTTTCTAGATACGTTTGTCTATAGCAGGGGGGTTGTATTTAATGTTCGCGTTCCTAGGTTCATTACGCAAAATACTTGATCTCTGTTCCTTAGACAGTGTTTTCCCTTTATGAATATTAGTTGGAAACTGTGACATTTCCCCCGAAGGAGCCCATGTCGTAGGTATGTCCAGGTCATTGAACCCAAGCTCAGATTCTTGCTCACTAAATTCGTCCTCGTCAATGAGATTATCGTTGCCAGTATTTGTAACTGAATTAAGATCGTCCACATTATTGTGAGTTTCTTGAACAGGGTTAATGATATCAAAGTTAACTGCGTTATTAGTTTCCGGTTGTTCATTAGACATAGTGAGGGCAGTTATTTAAGCACGAACAGCAGCCAAAATAAAACGGCCTAGAAAAACAAACATTATAGAGATCAGACATATATATATATAAAAAAAAAAAAAAAAACTGTATATAAAATATTGTATTATGCTATTATGTACATACTACAAACGTGGGGCAGCCAATAATAAAGCAGGCCAACTACACGTGATATTGTCTATCGAAGCATACGATGTTCATTTTATAATTTTGATTGGCTAAACCAATATGCATGATCGGGATCATCATTTCCTTATTTGGGACGGTCTCCCCTGTTATATGTCGTAGATCAAATTTTTCAGGGGCGTTACATCCGGAAAATACCAAAACTACATTTTTGATATTTATACTATAAATATATCAAAAACATAATTTCGGCTTCGCTCCAAATAAGGGACATAGACATTATAATAGCCCGAATTAAGCTTAATTTAGGCCGAAATTCGTAATTTTACCCCTGCGCGTTATTTCGTAACAGCATATGGTCGAATTTTTTTGATTTGATGATTATTAAAAATTATATGACGATATTTCATGAAATTTAATCCAATCATTACCAATCATTTATGTGATATTGCGTAATTACCGGAATTAAAACAGAAAAATATAATAAAATTGAATATTTGATTGGTAGATCATCTCTTTTATCATGAATTGCTTATGAAACCCTTATGAAACCGTTTATAAGTAATTTTACGAATCGTATGAGTTTTTAGCGGTTTTAGTCAAATCTAGCCAATCATAAATATTATTTTATTACTATGTCACTTAATTTTAATCATCAAAAATTTTCGCCCATATGAATACGGCAAATATTAAACTTCAAAATTTAATTTCTCGACAATTAATAAATTTTTTGTCACTATATAAAAGATTATATTTGTATTACAATTTTAATATAGAAATTCAAAATAAAAAACCTCATGGTATCAGATTACAGGTGCGAAAACTTTTGACGGGCACTGTATTCACAGAAATTATGAATTTATAAGTTCGAAAAAAAAATTTCCGGCCCCTGTTTCGGACACTCAAAAATCCACGTGATAATCTGCGCCTTTGTTGTGGTTAGCTATATAAGGGATTCTCCAATGCTTATGGTCGATAACTTTGTTCTTTCATTTTTACGTTTCTTAAAAAGCTTACCTTCAACATATGAACTAATTCTTTACCACAACGGAATTCACAAATGTAAAAGTTCAAAGAATTTATAGCTAACAAAATAACTTTATATCTATAATTCTTACCAGAGGATAATAATATTAAATCTCATTTTTCCAACATATCAATTTCGCTAACATTTTCCGGCGCAGCAACAAATAACATGTACTTCGATAGTCTTGTACTACAGTGCCTTTGCATAGAAGCTAAGCCACCTGAACTGATTAATGAAATGTTAGAAAATATTAGATATAATTTCATATAAATAGTTTACACAATTTTCGACCACTTTATGGTAGACTTGTTATTTTTTTTTAATCTCTGTATTCTCGAAGGCAAACAAAATGACTTCAAAAACTAGTAAACTTATTAAAGGCACAAAGGTCGGTGAGAGGCCTACAACACGAGCGTCAACGAGGACTGAAATTCCTTATAAATGTAAGTAGAGCTTCTCTTTACTTTCTTGTAAAAAGGTTTAAACCACTAAATATTATTGCATTCGATTGCTTTCTTAGGCGACACTGACTCCGAAAAGTCACAAATAATTTTCACAAACAAGCAGACCGACACTGCTACGCCGTCGGCGACTATATCTGCAGCGACAACGCGCGCTAGTTCTGTCGACCCTCCGCGACAACTCTCAGAAAGCCTAACGAAGGTTAAAAGGCGGAATTGCCAAAGTAATAAAAAAGACGGAGTGGTTCACAAAAAAACCAGTAAGACAAAGAAAAGTACTGGTATGTATTTATTTCCATTGTTCACTAGTGACTAGAACTGCAAAACTTGTGGCCTTAATGTTTGCCCTACGCATTATTTGTACCTTTCTATAGGAAAAACAATCGAACTAGACTACTCTAGTCACCCATCAGATGATGAAGACGATTTGGCGAAAAAGCGCGCATACCGGGCTATAGAAAGACGTGCCCGAGAAAAGGTTTGTGAATTTATTAATATAAAGGCTAGGTATTTACCATTTCTCTTTTTATTTCAATTATTGCTTTTTGCGGTTCTGCATTGATCATTCTTTTGCGGGTTGTTTTACAGTGTTTTGGCTTATAAAAAGAAGGAACTTGAGGAAGAGTATCTATCGTTAATCGAGAAGACACATCCAGCATATGTGGAAAACATAGGGAGACTCGACGAAGAACATCAGAAAATGCAGCAACTTCTCGAAAATAACCGTTTACTGGAGATTCAACAAAGCCAAAATTTGTACGAATCACAAGTTTCGCAAATACGTCACGTAGCTTTGGTAAATAAAAGTAATTTTATCTCGATTAATTTTCATGGACCTATTTTTATTTATGTATGCATAACATTGTATTCAGCATGAGAGACGTATCGCAAGAGAAGCTATTTTACATGACATTGAAGTCAGGAAATATAGGCTAATAAAGGAACATAAGGACTTTGACAAAAAGGGTAATGTTATCATATTATCATTTTTACTCAACTATTGTCATTAAAATAAATACAACTTAAATAATTATAGACCCTCGGGATTTAATGATCGATCTGGTCGTAAGGAACGACCAAACACAACCTGCGTTGACAAGTGTTGAAAATAGTCAACGTCGTATTTTTTTTTTAAATATCCTTTTATTCGTAAGGCTTTAAGCAAGAAAAAAAAGAAAAAATTTATTCTTAACTATTGATTGAAATACATAAGCCAAGTGAAACAAAATTAAGTAAAGATGAAATTGAAGACGATTTTGTTGCAATGCAGTTGTATACTCGAACGAAGCCGTTATCAATTCCATCACCACAACCTAATAATATTACGGTTGGCAGCACGCATATCTCATCAAAATATGTAGACTCTGCACCTCACTCTCGTCCATCCCAGCCTTCCGTCTCCTCAAACAATATGCGAAACTATGTATCATTAACAGGCTCAGCAACAAAATGGGTGAATGTAAATAGGCAGCCGACTTTAGAGCATTCTACAAACCGGATTAATGGGCGAGAGTGAGGTGCAGAGTCTACATATTTTGATGAGATATGCGTGCTGCCAACCGTAATATTATTAGGTTGTGGTGATGGAATTGATAACGGCTTCGTTCGAGTATACAACTGCATTGCAACAAAATCGTCTTCAATTTCATCTTTACTTAATTTTGTTTCACTTGGCTTATGTATTTCAATCAATAGTTAAGAATAAATTTTTTCTTTTTTTTCTTGCTTAAAGCCTTACGAATAAAAGGATATTTAAAAAAAAAATACGACGTTGACTATTTTCAACACTTGTCAACGCAGGTTGTGTTTGGTCGTTCCTTACGACCAGATCGATCATTAAATCCCGAGGGTCTATAATTATTTAAGTTGTATTTATTTTAATGACAATAGTTGAGTAAAAATGATAATATGATAACATTACCCTTTTTGTCAAAGTCCTTATGTTCCTTTATTAGCCTATATTTCCTGACTTCAATGTCATGTAAAATAGCTTCTCTTGCGATACGTCTCTCATGCTGAATACAATGTTATGCATACATAAATAAAAATAGGTCCATGAAAATTAATCGAGATAAAATTACTTTTATTTACCAAAGCTACGTGACGTATTTGCGAAACTTGTGATTCGTACAAATTTTGGCTTTGTTGAATCTCCAGTAAACGGTTATTTTCGAGAAGTTGCTGCATTTTCTGATGTTCTTCGTCGAGTCTCCCTATGTTTTCCACATATGCTGGATGTGTCTTCTCGATTAACGATAGATACTCTTCCTCAAGTTCCTTCTTTTTATAAGCCAAAACACTGTAAAACAACCCGCAAAAGAATGATCAATGCAGAACCGCAAAAAGCAATAATTGAAATAAAAAGAGAAATGGTAAATACCTAGCCTTTATATTAATAAATTCACAAACCTTTTCTCGGGCACGTCTTTCTATAGCCCGGTATGCGCGCTTTTTCGCCAAATCGTCTTCATCATCTGATGGGTGACTAGAGTAGTCTAGTTCGATTGTTTTTCCTATAGAAAGGTACAAATAATGCGTAGGGCAAACATTAAGGCCACAAGTTTTGCAGTTCTAGTCACTAGTGAACAATGGAAATAAATACATACCAGTACTTTTCTTTGTCTTACTGGTTTTTTTGTGAACCACTCCGTCTTTTTTATTACTTTGGCAATTCCGCCTTTTAACCTTCGTTAGGCTTTCTGAGAGTTGTCGCGGAGGGTCGACAGAACTAGCGCGCGTTGTCGCTGCAGATATAGTCGCCGACGGCGTAGCAGTGTCGGTCTGCTTGTTTGTGAAAATTATTTGTGACTTTTCGGAGTCAGTGTCGCCTAAGAAAGCAATCGAATGCAATAATATTTAGTGGTTTAAACCTTTTTACAAGAAAGTAAAGAGAAGCTCTACTTACATTTATAAGGAATTTCAGTCCTCGTTGACGCTCGTGTTGTAGGCCTCTCACCGACCTTTGTGCCTTTAATAAGTTTACTAGTTTTTGAAGTCATTTTGTTTGCCTTCGAGAATACAGAGATTAAAAAAAAATAACAAGTCTACCATAAAGTGGTCGAAAATTGTGTAAACTATTTATATGAAATTATATCTAATATTTTCTAACATTTCATTAATCAGTTCAGGTGGCTTAGCTTCTATGCAAAGGCACTGTAGTACAAGACTATCGAAGTACATGTTATTTGTTGCTGCGCCGGAAAATGTTAGCGAAATTGATATGTTGGAAAAATGAGATTTAATATTATTATCCTCTGGTAAGAATTATAGATATAAAGTTATTTTGTTAGCTATAAATTCTTTGAACTTTTACATTTGTGAATTCCGTTGTGGTAAAGAATTAGTTCATATGTTGAAGGTAAGCTTTTTAAGAAACGTAAAAATGAAAGAACAAAGTTATCGACCATAAGCATTGGAGAATCCCTTATATAGCTAACCACAACAAAGGCGCAGATTATCACGTGGATTTTTGAGTGTCCGAAACAGGGGCCGGAAATTTTTTTTTCGAACTTATAAATTCATAATTTCTGTGAATACAGTGCCCGTCAAAAGTTTTCGCACCTGTAATCTGATACCATGAGGTTTTTTATTTTGAATTTCTATATTAAAATTGTAATACAAATATAATCTTTTATATAGTGACAAAAAATTTATTAATTGTCGAGAAATTAAATTTTGAAGTTTAATATTTGCCGTATTCATATGGGCGAAAATTTTTGATGATTAAAATTAAGTGACATAGTAATAAAATAATATTTATGATTGGCTAGATTTGACTAAAACCGCTAAAAACTCATACGATTCGTAAAATTACTTATAAACGGTTTCATAAGGGTTTCATAAGCAATTCATGATAAAAGAGATGATCTACCAATCAAATATTCAATTTTATTATATTTTTCTGTTTTAATTCCGGTAATTACGCAATATCACATAAATGATTGGTAATGATTGGATTAAATTTCATGAAATATCGTCATATAATTTTTAATAATCATCAAATCAAAAAAATTCGACCATATGCTGTTACGAAATAACGCGCAGGGGTAAAATTACGAATTTCGGCCTAAATTAAGCTTAATTCGGGCTATTATAATGTCTATGTCCCTTATTTGGAGCGAAGCCGAAATTATGTTTTTGATATATTTATAGTATAAATATCAAAAATGTAGTTTTGGTATTTTCCGGATGTAACGCCCCTGAAAAATTTGATCTACGACATATAACAGGGGAGACCGTCCCAAATAAGGAAATGATGATCCCGATCATGCATATTGGTTTAGCCAATCAAAATTATAAAATGAACATCGTATGCTTCGATAGACAATATCACGTGTAGTTGGCCTGCTTTATTATTGGCTGCCCCACGTTTGTAGTATGTACATAATAGCATAATACAATATTTTATATACAGTTTTTTTTTTTTTTTTTATATATATATATGTCTGATCTCTATAATGTTTGTTTTTCTAGGCCGTTTTATTTTGGCTGCTGTTCGTGCTTAAATAACTGCCCTCACTATGTCTAATGAACAACCGGAAACTAATAACGCAGTTAACTTTGATATCATTAACCCTGTTCAAGAAACTCACAATAATGTGGACGATCTTAATTCAGTTACAAATACTGGCAACGATAATCTCATTGACGAGGACGAATTTAGTGAGCAAGAATCTGAGCTTGGGTTCAATGACCTGGACATACCTACGACATGGGCTCCTTCGGGGGAAATGTCACAGTTTCCAACTAATATTCATAAAGGGAAAACACTGTCTAAGGAACAGAGATCAAGTATTTTGCGTAATGAACCTAGGAACGCGAACATTAAATACAACCCCCCTGCTATAGACAAACGTATCTAGAAAAGTTTTGTTGCAAAAAAAAAATAATATTATAGTTTTATGTTATATAAAGTTTTGTAAGCTTTTTTTTTAGTTATACTGAACTCTAATTCATTAAAAAAAAAAAAAAAAAAAGCAAAAGTGCAAGCGAAAGTACAAGATAATAGTGCAAGGAAAGCACAAGTATATGTGCAATCGAAAGTGCAAAATAAAAGTGAAGGAGAGTACAAGTATATGTACAAGCGAAAGTTCAAGATAAAAGCGCAAGGGGAGTATAAGTGTATATGTATAACAGTTACATCAAAGAAAGTGAAAGTTCGTTATGTGAGAGATTATGTATCTTCAACAAAGAACGAAGGCTGTGTGTAAAGAAAGAAAGAGTGTGATAGTAAGATTAGTGCCTTTGAATACTCAAACAAAACATTATCGTTTGTTCTAACCTTTAACCCTTCTGCTAACAATAAAAAAGTAATAGTGATAAGAAGATACAATTACGTACGCACGTGCATACGTACTTAAATACCTTATATATGATTATATATATACGTATGTATGTACTCAGTGACATATTTTAATTGATAGTCTTATTTTTCACTTTAATAGTGATATATTTTAATTTTGTATCACTACCTATAGGTAACAGTATCACGTGTGTGACAAGTAACTTTTTCTTTAATTTAAATCGGTATTATTAATTTTTTATAGTATTTATTACTATTATTTTATGAAATCTTAATAATCTATATAAGTTTAATTATACGTCTAATTCTACGTTTAATCTTACATCTTACTCAAATTCTAATATCCTATACTTTACTATCTTACACAACTATTATTCTAATAAGAAACCTTTGTAATTTTAATATATCTTATATTTAAACTTCTTATCATATTATAAAAGCACCTAAAATAATATTAATAATAATATTATTAATAAATCGTATAGTAAATTAATATTATTCATTTACTTTCAATTTCTAAAGGA